GCCGGCTCCACCGAGACCAAGAAAAAGAGCAAAAAGAAGAAGCGCAGCAGAGGCGACGGTGAGAATGATTCGGATGCGGCGGGAGGTACGGCGCATGAAAGGAGAAAGCCAAAGGGCAACAAAGATGGCGGGGAGGTCGTTGAGAGCACAGAGGAGCCGGAACACGCCCAGGAGGAGAAACTGAAAAGAAAGAAAAGGAAAAAGGAGACTTTGGACCGGATTGAAATAAATGATGATTCTCCTCTTCAGAATGAGGAACCGAAGAAGAAGAAAAAGAAGAAGAAGCAGCAAAAGTCAGACAATTAGATGTTTTTTAACGCGGATATAGAATATGAAATTAGAGACTTCGATATACTCTTCTGATGAATGAATGGCGGGTGCATGACACCTCTGGTGCTTACTGGTAATATCATGATTGGCTGCTCGGGGAACTTTGCTGCATTAATCCCCGCCCATGAAGAGCTCCCGAGCATAAGGGCCTGACAAGGACATGCTAAGGGTACCGGACCTGTGAGCAAGCAGTGAAGTCAGCACTTTGCTTACTGCTGATAGGTATGGGGCAATCTGGCTCAGTCCACACTCTCAGCCAAAGTGACCGGGGGGGGGGCGTTCGTCAGGACATTGGATTACATTCAAAGCACCACCATGTGGCCCACACACGTACTGATGAATTTGTACTGTAACTGCTGGATAAATATCACTCATCATTGGTGAAATGGCAAATCCCGGCGTCTTGTCCATGTCTTAGATCTCTACGTGAGACAGTTATGAATATATGAATTTAGAATGTTTGCCGTGTGAAAGCTGAACGTTGTACCATTGACTGTGCACCCCCATAAGAAAATACGGGGCTGCCATTGCCGACCTCCTGATATTAGTTACCTGGCTGTGTCTGCTTTCCCAAATTTGAGTCGTCAACCCCGAACACCTAGGCCACCGGTGAAGCCAGAGCACTTAAAGGAGAACTATGGGGTTAAGTCTTTTCCCCATAGTTCTCCATAGGTTGACGGGAGGACACAAACTAGCGTCCTCCCATCACCCCTAAGCTCAGTATATAGGGAGCGCTGCTCGCGGTATACTGAGACGCCGCAGCCGGAGCGGATCCCGACATCGATGTCTGGATCCACCCAGCTGCGTGAGTGACAGCTGGCTCCGCCTATCTAGAGGCAGAGCCAGCTGTACCCGCCCCCTCCCCCGTCCGTTCCGCCAGTCAGC